TAATATGAATTTAGTTGTAACCAAAATTACAACATGTAATAAGATACAAATAATGAAATAACACAAAATAATTAAATCACACTAGAAAAATCCTGATTGTGTGTTCTTTGATGAGTTCATAGTAGTGATATCTAAAATTGGAGCATGTGTACAATCAATTAAATTTCCAAGCATACCATGTTTTATAAAGTGCATATATGGTCAACGTGAGCCTAAGTATTATTTTCCAAAATTCATGAGCGTGTGATATGTCATTACCTTACAAATGACATAAGTTTACAATAGATATTGCTATAATGATATATAGTAAAAATTAACTTACAAATTTCTTTATAAGTTTTCACTTTTCATGCATTGATAAAATTTTGAGAATGATGTATAAACTTGTTGAATTAGAGCCAATGGGATATCAATATTGTCAATTCTTTGAAAAATGATTATACCGTTTCAAAGTGCAGGTATAGTTGTATTTTTTATCAACAACTTTGTAGTTTGGTCGAGTAAGTATGACAATGATGGAAGAACAATTTTGTACGATAAAAAAAAATAATAGTACAATATTTGTAAAGTAATGTCAATTGTACCGTTATAGAAATACATACAAAAAATATTAATACCATAATGACCTAAATCATTCCAACAACGCAAAAACATAATTGAAATATTGAGTCTTATTCAAAATATAATCAAAAGAAGATTAATTAAACGAAAAAAAAAAAAAAACTTAACCTAAATTTGTTTTTTAAAATATGCAAGAAAATGATTGTTTTTAACCTAAATTTGTGAGTTAATACCCAATATAGTCCTCGACTATAGTGATTTTACTCAATTTAGTCCTAAATGACTTTTTGTACTCTATTTAGTCCTCGACTTTAATGATTTACACACTTTAGTCCTATGTTAAGAATTCCGTTAGTTCACCGTTAATAACAAGGTTAAAATAGTAATTTTATTTTCCTATTATTTTTTTATTAAATTATTTATTAATATTAATTATATTTTCCTAATTTTTTTCCTTCCCCAATGTTTGCCGATACAATTCCCTCCTTCCCTCTTATCAACCTTCCGCAAGGAGTGATGTGACTACAACCTTTGCGGTGGGGGTGGGGGCTGCTCGGCAATGGCAGACAAATTCCCCTTCCTCTTTTCCAGCTCTCTCACATATCCAATCTATAAGCTCGCCGGAGACTCGGGCTTCCCGGTCCGTTCGGCTCACTAGCCGAGCCTCACAAATTCTTCTATTACTTATAATGCTAGGGTGATTACCGCCACTGATTGATACGAGATGAATCGGAGCTTTAGGGACTCTATGATCGGAGGCGGGAAGAGTTTTCCGTTACCACCGCAGCTCCGGCGTGGCCTTAGCATCAATGGAGCCTCCAACAATGACCCCTCCGATGACTCATTGGATCTCTTCTCCAGAACTCGCCGCAGTGTCTCCGTTGTCAACTCCGATGAGTCTGATGGTACTCGATCTTGTATATATTTTGTTAGGAACAAGTTTAATTAGATTTTGATGATACCAAACTCACTAGGATTGTAGACCTCTATTTTATATAATCCCTAGTCGTTGTGGTTGTCTTCATCTTAGAGGAACAAAGGCGACCATTGCAAACTGGCTATCTATCAACGAAAATAGCCACACGCCATCAACATGATGGTCAGTGGTTACTCTAAAAATTAAATAAATCAAAATAAAAATATTTTTAAAAAATAGTTATACATATAGGATCCACATAAACATAAAATGTCACGTGTTAACCTAGCTATTTATTAGTGTCGCACCAGTAATAAACTACTAACTAGATAAAAATAAATCTTAATTATACGATTTTACAGATTTTGAGGGTTTTATTAATTATTTTTTTTTTCAATTTACGAACCTCATTATACTATTCATTAAGTTTAATGGGTCAATTTGAATTTTACAATAATTTAATTATTTGTTCAATTCCTTGCGTGTTTGTTTGAATTTGAGCAATTAAATCATTGAATTAGAACGACTAAATATTATAATAAATTAATTAAACGTACATATAGGCTCATGAGTCAATTAGTCCTCAAGGCCGCAAAATCGAGTCATCGTCAGCATTCTTGTCCCCTAAAGTTTAACAAACACGGGACGACGACGTTAAACCTCAGTGCGTGGCATATAAAAAAGACATCTTTAAACAATATTTAATTTTAAAAAATGATAATATCATTATAAAAGAAAAATAATATTATAATGCTTGTTACATATATATAATTTTAATTTGTACCTCTCAATTTTTGTTTTCATTTACTATTCAATTTTTATATACTACGTATATGCCATCCAAACCAATTAATTAACTACCACACAATTGTGAAAATTAACTTAAAGATGATCTAGTTAGCTAAAAGAAATTAAAATTAAAAAAATATTTGTAAATGATCTTGTAATCTACTAGCATGGAGTGACTCTTCTAAATGGGAACTCATGGGTTTGATCACTGGTCGTGAAAGTAGTTACGAACTCGATCAAGTATATCTTATGGGACTATGTCACGTTCTTGTTAAACATGTGCTCTACCAACTAATCTAAATCATTTCTTATTAACATTTAGTAGATTTTTTATATTAATATTGAAACTTGTACTATATATACATATATACATACAAAGATTATATATGGGGTGGGGGGCAGCTGCCCCTGCACCCCTTTGACTCCGTCTCTGCACCACCTCATTTCCTACATCAATAGTTTGTGAAGCTAAGGTGATGGTTACAACACTCATTAAAGAGCTAAAAACCAATAGTTTGAATGATCTTTATTATATACGCAAACCAAAACAAATGTGAAGTAAAAGGACAGTTTGCATATTCAATGGCATAACGTGCAAATCATTAAGGATGACAAAATACCTGTATACTCCCAATTTACTACATCAGAGATCTTTGATTGAACCATCACAATTAGTAAATATATAAAAAAAAAAATTATTGCCATACATAAAATTAACATTAAGTAAATTTAGACTTTTTGTCACAAGAAAATAAGCAATAGTATTTTCAAGACATTAATCTAAGTAGATGAGAAATACCATTTAAGACTTACTTCTAATAAAATACTAAAATTTGATTCCTACGAACAAAATGAAAAAGGACAATAACATTTATGTTTTTTTTTTTCTTTTATATTGTATCGATTGTCTAGCAATTATTATGGTGATATTTAATTTTTTTATTTACAATAACTTTATCTTTCTCTTTCTAGTAATATTGATAATAAGTTTATATATTCATTTTTTTTTGTCTGAAATAGAATTGTGGTATTGATGACCTTTTATAGTAAATACCATAATTATTTAAAAAAATTATTAATTTAGCTAAGTAGCAGCATGCATGGATTAGAGCAACCCATAATATCTCCAACTTTTTCCTTTCTTTCTTTGTTATGTTGGCTGTGAAGATGTACATGAATTTGTTGGTCAAAAAGCACTTCCGTAACAGTTTGTGAGTTATTATACATTAATGCAATTAGTAAATTTATTTCTTAATTATGTGGGGCTTACTTTCTTAAAGGTATGTAGCATGATTAAACGAATTTATAGCTTTGACTTTGGTAGATTAGACGCGTATACATATAGGGGGCTTTGGAGGTTCCAATTTCTAGCTCTCAATAAAAAATAAAAAAAAAACTTTATTTTGCTCTGATCTACTATTTATCTTTCCATTCTTGCTTACAAATTGAGGGATTGTTTTTGCCTACTCTCAATTATTGTTTTAGTTATAAAACCTGTGGAGAAGTATATCAGAGACGATTTTGCTGATTCGATCGTTTTGTTCTGATTGGACAAAAGTATACCTGTTTTCAATTCGGAAGGATTCAACACACTTGTTCGATCGGTTTGTTTGTATTCAGGTAACTAATACCGTTAATCCCTTCTACCTTAACGAGTATAGAATATGATGACCTCTTCAACTTCAAACTTAACGGTCAACCATTCTGCTATCTGGTTTGGACCCACCGCATATATATATAAGCGCCTCCTTTTCGCACTTTCACTTAGCTTCTTCATCATCACCTACTGCGAGCTCTCATCTATCATCCTAAAATTCTTTATTATTGTCACTTCTTTAAAACCATCGATCCAGCAGACAATGACACATCAACCTAGTTTTTTTGTTTTAGCTTTTGTTTCTTCACTACTTCTTCTGCTCGCCGCGGTCAAACCTCTTGAAGCCCGTAGATTGGTTCCTCCTCCAGGCTCCAATCCCGGCACCAACTCGGCGACTCTCGGCGACAAGAGCTTTGCAGTTACATCCAAGAATGGACGTTCAAGGAAACTTCTTTCGTCACCGTCTCTGTGGAAACCGGTCTCCTCCGACGCCCAACCCCGGCACCAACTCGGCCCTCGTCGGAGCAATGAACTTTGCGGCTGGGTTGCTCCCGACAAAGCCGTCAAATAATATTAGCAATGCTAACGTAGTGATTACTATCTAGATTGTAGATAATTTGCACATGCTATTTTATTCTTCATTCTATAAGGTTTACCTAGTACATATACCTTCAGATAATAACGGTGAATTTTTTTCAGAACAATCTCTTGTACAGTACGTGTGTATAATTCTACTTTGGAGTGTCTAATATATGGTGTTTTGCGTATGCTTCAAGCCATCTTTGTTGCAGGGACTCTATATATAGTTAAATTTTTTAATACTAATATTAGGCAAATTTCAAAAGTTAAAGAAACATAAACATATACCATGCAAATTATGGATTCATTTTTAATTAATTAATAAATATTAAAAAGTTTATTTTCACATGAACATTAAGTAAAATTAGAAAATGAACAATAGTGTCCCTAGGACTAATTTAGTGAATGAGAAATGCCATTTATGTGGTGGCTGGTTTAATTCTTAGGAGATTAAAAGAAAGAATTACTCCGTAGCATTTAAGTTTTATTATTATTATTATTATTTTTTTTTTTTTTGCATTTTATCAAGGGTCACACTAGTGTGTCTTTGCTGCCGAGTTGCATAGAATAATAATCTCTCGTTTGATAGAATAATAATTATCTTCCATTCATTCATTCTTTAATTTTTTTATTTTTTATTTTTGAAGCCAATTTTTTCATAGAAATAAATTATTTGATCAGTGTACTCAACACCCATCAACAAAGAGTGATGATCTGAGTTCACGAGAAGGTGTCTCAAAAAATGGAAACCCCATTCTCACTATGATCAAAATTTTTTGACTTTATTTAATTAATATGCTTAATTTTTATGCACAATTCATCTGAGTCTAATAATGAAAATTTCTGTAAATTTTTTTTTTGAAAGGTAAATTTCTGTAAAATTAGATAATAATAAACTAATATAATTAAGTGTAATGAGCGCTGCTAGCGTCGATCATGACATTAAAGAACCTTAGAATGAAGTCTCATAAGCAGGCAATATAGTTCGATTAGACGCTATTATTACTTACATGTTAGTACTTATGTGACGCTAATTAACCTAACACATGACATCTTATACTTATGTGGATTCTATGTATGTGTACTGATGGGTACCCGATATTTTGAACCCAGTTGAACTACTTAGTCTCAGTTGAAAGACTTAAATCCGGTCAAACCTCCCTACCCCAAAATAAATACCCTATTAAATTACCCATAAATTCCCATGAAATACCCATTGACCAATTGTTAATCTTCCATCACTCCCCATCTCTTATAACCCATTAACTACCAATAAATCCCTCATTTAATATCCATATATAACCCCCCATCCTATTTACTATCCTATTAAATTACCCATTATTTCCCTACTAACTATTCACCCAACGGATACTTCTTCTTATATTGCTATAAAAGACAAGGAGAGCACAAGGAGGAGGACACACTATTCACCTACACACATAGGAGGACTCTTCCACACATCACTCTTTCAAGGGGAGAAGACTCCACCACTCCTCCACTCTATCACTCTTCCCCACTACAAGAAGATTTGAGAGTAGGAGAGATAGTTTTATTCTTACAGAATGTTACATGTACAAAAATAGCCATATACTATATACCAAAACCTACAAAAATAGTAAAAGTCTTGGCTTGACACCGCCCAAAAAGGCCCGTGATTTTCCTTTCGGTTTCCGGTAAATCCACCAATTACCGGTTGTGTTGGACCTTCATGGGTTTCTCAAAAATCCAAAAATCAACAATGGCGCCGTCTATGGGGATTGTGACTAAAAGTTGCGTCACGTACTTTACACGAGCAAGTCGGAAAGGTCAACCTGAAAGGGTTCACGGAGAACAGTAGACCAAGAAGATGGCTGGAGAAAAGTCAAGCAAAGAAGACTGCATACTATGTCCACAAGAGGTAACCATTATTATGTAAACCATTATGGCTCTGTTTGGCAAACCTAGTTGAAAAGTTATAAGCTAGGAGTTGAAAGCTGAAAAAGAGCTGAAAGTTGAAAAGCTATAAGCTCGGAGCTGAAAACTCAAGAGCAGTTAAGCTAGTTGTTATGATTGAAAGTGTTTGGTAAAAATAACTTTTTGATAAGCTGATAAATGTAAAAAGACTAAAAAGGACATCTTCATAAAATTTAAAGTAGTTTGTTTACATATTAAAATTTAACATTTTGTCTTTAAAAAAAATTAACATTTTCAAATAAAACTATTAGCATAATCATGATCTAGCATCTCATAATGGAGTAGCAATATTGTTGCAAATCTCATAATAATAATAATATAATAATAATAATAATAATTATTATTATTATTATTATAATAGTAATAATAATAATAATAATAATAATAATAATAATAATAATAATAATAATATTTGTGGTGAATGTTGGGGATAAAGGAGAAGAGAAAATGGTTTTAATTGGGAAGGGTAAATTATGTCATTTCTTTAAAATAATAAGGATAAAGATGGAAAAAAAGTTAGGAAGCTAGGAGCTTATTTTGAAACGCTACCTAAGGTAGCGTTCCAAAATAAGCTCTTATTTTAAGCTAGGAGCTTATTTTGGGAACATTACCAAACAGAGTTTATAACTTATTAGTAGCTTAAAATAAACTATAAGCTCTACCAAACAGAGCCTATATAAATAAATTGAAGACACATAACATATTAACTACATACACATAAACCATTAATTCTATATGTCTTCAATTAATTTATAAACACATAAATGATTAATTACAGTTACAAAACATTACAAAACATATCAACTGCAAACACATAATTTTTGAATTTAGTGGTATAAGTGTATAACAATTGTTTTTAGGGGCGTGGGTACTTGGTCTACTTGGATATGTGGAGAAGTAGATCAGAGACGTTTTGCTGATTCTTTTTGTTCTCATTGGACAAAAGTATTCTGAGCAAATAGTGTGGACCCGACCCGTTTCAAACCAGAAACATTCAACACTTGTTCAGTTTTTTGTTTTGTACGTACCTTAACGAGTATCGAAGATGATGATGACCTGGCCTCTTCAAGCTCAAACGGTCAACTAACCACTCTGTTATTATCTGGTTTGGACCGCATATATAAGCTAGCGCCTCCTTCTCGCAGTTTTGTTCTTCAATCCTCAAACTAGCTTCTTTATTATTGTTGTTAATTTGTTCTTTAAAACCATCCAGCAGATCAGACAAGATCGATCTAAGAGACAATGACACGTCAACCTAGTTTTATTGTTTTAGCTTTTGTTTCTGTACTTCTGGTCGCCGTCGTCAAACCTCTTGAAGCCAGTAAATTGGTTCCTCGTGACGGCGGCGAACGTCAATCGTTATCTGCATCTATGAAGTGGAAACCGGTTTCCCCTCCGGGCCCAAATCCCGGCACCAACATCGCCGTTAACTCGGCGACTGTCGGCGACAAGAGCTTTGCAATTACTATATCCAAGAATGGACGCTCAAGGCCGGAAACGTCTTTCGTCACCGTCGTCACTGTGGAAATCAGTCTCCCCGCCGGCAACTCCGCTCTCGTTACTAGAATTGGTATATATATATAATACATACGCATGTATAATTCTATGTATAATTCTCTCTTGCACGAAATCATCTTTGTTGTTTTGGGTACATGTGCATGAAATTAAGCCACCGTTACGTTGTTGCATGGAATTGAAGAAACCACCACATTAGGCCCTTAATAATAACAATAATAATAATTATTATTATTATAACCTATAACTTACTTCTTGTGACAATTTTTTTTTTTTTTTTTTTTTGTATTTGATTGTTAATTAATTTATAAATAATTACTAAATATAAAGAGTTTGTTAGGTTGTTAACATAAAATTAAACTTTGTAAATTTAGAAAACGGAAAATAGCATCTAATATTTTTATTTTCTAGTCATGCCCATAAAAAGCCAAATTTCTTACTTTAGAGACCCCACACTCTGACCCAACATGATAGTAAAAGGATAAATCAATGACTTAGGTATCTTTTAAATTAGAGGACCAGTTCTTGGTGCTCACAATTCTACAACAACGCCGGTAACTCGACTCCTCTTGGCGACGACAACTCTGTCGTTACATCCAAGAATGGGCGTTCAAGGAAACTTATTTCGACACTGTCTCCATGAAAACCCAATCATTATACTCTGCACCACGGTTCACGTAGCACTGTGCGCCACGCGCCTCCCAAAACGGCGTCGTTTTGTTAAGTTGTGTGTGGAGTCGACGCGACATAGTGTATGTGTATTATGTTATATGATTATGATCATTACGTTATACAATTATGTACATTATGGTATACAATTATGTACATTCGAACACACGATTTTTTTTAACAGTTAAAAATTTATGTGTATTCTGTTATACAACTATGTACGTTCTCATATACAATTATGTACATTTTAATATACAATTATGTACATTTTCAAAAGATATGACTTTTTTTAGCAAGTTAATAGCAAACACGGAAAAGCGAAATTAAAAAAAAAAAAAAAAGTATAGAACGACGTCGTTTTGCACCAGGGCGCACAATGCAATATGCGCCCTGGTGCACGATATAAATTGCCGTGAAAACCAATCTCCCCTCTGACGCTAAACGCCAGCACCAACTCCGCTAGCTCTCGTCGGAGCAAAGAACTTTGCCGCTGGGTTGCTTCCATCTCTGCAATGGCGGCCGGTTACTACTCCGTCGAGCAACCCCATTGCGACAGTGAGTGAACAGAACTAATTAAGCATCAGCTTCCATTATCTAACAAGCAGGGACGGAGCCAAAGGGGGGGCAGTTGCCCCCCTCATCCCACCCCCACCCCATATATAGTCTTTGTATGTATATATGTGTATATAGTACAGATTTTAGTATTAGTATAAAATAACTATAAAATATTAACAAGAAGTGAGTTAGATTAGGTGGTAGAGCACATATTTAGCAATAATGAGGTCAAGGGTTCAAATTGTGGCATTAACATAGTTTTACACACACACACACACACATATATATATATAAATGTTCAAGTTTGCAAATTGAAGTTGACAATAATTATGAAAATGTCACTGTTTTTTCTTTAAATATAATCCGTTCAATTTTTATATATGTAAAACTGAAATTGGTTCTTAGTTTTCTCCTGGAATGTATTTTCCTAGTGGAGCGACTGTTTTTTATGGTGTGACGAAGCCAGTAAGTATGGAGTGACGGTCAGGATGTAGTGAAGACGGTGGTGCGACGACACCGGTGAAGTAAATGGGGTAAAGTGACGACGGTGATGGGGTGAAGATTGAACGATTTTTGTTTGTTTTATTGGTAGATAATTTGGGAAATTAGGAAGACGAAGGAAACAGTGATTTTTGTTTGTTTTATTTATTTTTACCTATGCTTGGCAATTCAAATTTTAACATTTTTACCAAGTTGTCACGGATGCATTATATTTATCAAAAGTAACTTGATGGTTAATTTGCTAATGGGGTGGATTGAGCTAAAATTATGAGTTTATGTATTTAATTGTATTTAATGGGGTGGATTGGCCTATTTGACTATTTATTTTCTCTTTTTTTTTTTCTTCATTATATTCTAGGTGGTTGATTTGGGTTAGACCAATAGTTAAGATTTTACCACATTTTTTACTTGAGAGTTCCTTCACATTTGATCTCTTATGTATGGCAAAAACTTGTTGAGACCGTCTCACGGATCCTTGTCCGTGAAACGGATCGGGTCAAGATGAAATGTAAGACTCATATATACTAGCAAATGTAATACTCAATCATGAATAAAATTTTTAATTTATTACTTATATGAAAAATGCAATATACTTTTGAAGGAAAATGTAATACTATTACATTTTGATGTAAAAGTATTACTTCTTTTTTTTTATCAAAATATTATATTTTCCCTTAAAATGATCTAAAAATACATTTTGTAACAATTAAATGTGCATTATTTCTGTAATACTTATAGTGTTACTAGTTGCAAAGTAAAATTTGTGATAATTACAAAAATAACATCATGTATTTTTAAAATTTGATCTGGTTCATTCGATATTTCCATATGTAAGACTCTGATTGATTTTTAATTTTCTTCTAATGGTGTATTTTCATGGGATTATGTGTGTGTGTGTGAGAGAGATAGAGAGAGACAGATGAGAGAGATCTCTCCCTTCCCCACCCCCACCCCCACCCCCACTCCCACCCCACCCCACATAATATGGCTCTCATCATAAGAACAAGTTAAGCTTTCTTGTGAGATGTGTAGATTAGACAAAAGATTAACCATTATTGATTTAGTAGATCTAATTTTTTAAAAATAAAGAAAAAATAATAAAAGTTTGTAATATTTATATTGGCTCTACACTTTTTAAAAAAAATTATTTAACCTTGAATTTATTTTAAATAGACGTATCATATTAGTCCACACTTCGATCTCTTTTATTATTATTATTATTATTATTATTATTATTATTATATATATATATATATATATATATATATATATATATAGGGAAGGGATCAGGTGCATTTGTTGCTTCCCGTGCGGTTGTGCGGTGGATTAATGTGCGTGAGGTTTATACTTAATGTGCGTGAGTGTTATGCTCAATATGCTTGAGATTTGTACTTAATGTGCGTCATGTTAATATGCGTGAGTTTTGTACTTAATGTGCCAGAGTATTGTGCTTAATATGCGTGAGATTTGTGCTTAATGTGCGTGAGTAATAAGAGAATTTTCAACAATCTGGAAACATTAATCCGAGGAACCTCTTGCAGACCAATCACCAGTAGATCAAAATTCTCTGTTTCTTTCCACTAGTTTTTCTATGTCCTCCATACTCACATTCACCATAGCAGAATAAATCAATTAATAAATAAATAAATAAACAAATCTGACATGATGGAATTGAAGCAAACAACAGAAGTTCCAGATTCTCGCACCAAAATCGGTCTGCATAGACCATTGATAAGGATAGAATTTGTGTATTCACTTTGGGAAGCTTTTATTTCATTGTAAACATCAGTAAAGCAGAGCAACACACTATTATATGTCCTTATTGAAACTTAAAGATTCAAATCTTTCATCTTGGATAGAACAAAAAGAGCATCAGCAACCATCTCAGATGTCGAATAAGCACAGGCCAGCATATTCCATACCACATTATAAGCAACTCAATAATCGAAGTTATTCTGAAGCAACTCACAGAGTGCTGGGGATGGGGAAGAAGCTGATAACCATATTTTCTGCTGCATTTTACACCACATTCAGGCACATTAAGTACAAATCTCAGGTACATTAGACACAACACTAACGCACATTGAGTACAGATCTCACGCACATTAATAACCGCACAATCGCACGGGAACCTTTCACTATATATATATATATATATATATATATATATATATATATATATATATATATATATATATATATATATATATATATATATATATATATATATATATATATATATATATATATATATATATATATATATATATGATTTCTGTAAAATATATAATTCAACACTTATTGGCAAGTATTCATATTGGCTTCATTGTTACGGTAAAGTTTCAATTCGTCCTTAACTTAAAGATAACGAGTAGCTGACCCATTCAAGTCCATCCTAAATTCCTTATTTAATTTTCTTATTAAACCCTCCCAGTCCACGTTCAATTCACGGTCAACCCGCCACTCATTTTCCATTCTTCCATCAAAAATTAAACCAACGAACCTATCAAAGTCGTCCCCCACATGCCACGTACACACCACGCCATGAAATATCAAGCTTATAAATAAGCCCCGCCCCCTCTTTGCATTTCATATATTCCCATCAACTTTATTTTTTAATCACTTCATACTTCTATTCCATTCATCTGTCACCCACAAATTTAATCATTTTCATTCCTTAATTAATAACCGCCCGACAAGAATTCAAGAGACAATGAGACATCAATCTGGTATTGTTTTAGGTTATGTTTTTGTGGTTTTTCTAGTGTGTATTGAACCTTATGAAGGGTGTAGATCGGTTCCCGGTGGCAATGGACTTTTGCTGTCATCTCTGCAAGGGAAATCAGTCCCCCCGCCGGGGCAGAATCCCGGCACCAACGGCGCCGTTGACTCGGCTACTCTCGGTGGGAAGAACTTCGCCGGAGTTATAACGGCGGGAGGTGGTTTAAAGAAGCAGCTTCTTTTGTTGCCATCTCTGCAGTGGAAAACGGTTACCCCTCCGTCGCCCAACGGCGGCACTAACAGCGCCGTTAACTCCGCCAATCTCGGCGAGAAGAATTTTGTAGGGGCGGCGACGGAGAAGCCATTAAAGAAGCATCTTTTCTTGCCGTCTCTGCAAGGGAAACAGGTCCCCCCTCCGACGCCTAACGGCGGCACCAACAACGTCGTTAACTCGGCCACTCTCGGCGAGAAGAACTTTGTAGGGGCGACGGAGAAGCGAGGAAGTTCAAAAAAGCATCTTTTGTTACCGTCTCTATGGAAAAATGTCAGCCCGCCAAAGTCCAACCCCGGCACCAACTCCGCCGTCGCCGGAGCAAAGAACTTTGGGTTGCCGCCGAGGAAGAAGCCAACTCACCTTTTGCTTCCTTCTCTGCAATGGCGGCCAGTACCCCCTCCTCCGTCAACCAACCCCGGCCACAACAGGGCTATCACGGTGAGCGAACAGAACTTTTCCGGCCAGCAGCTTCCGGCGGAATCTCACAAGGCTTCTAGTTAAGCGGATTAATAATCTCACATATTTGACGTTCCAAATCTAACGTCATTCATTAATTCGTTCATTCTCTTTTGTATTAACGATTTTTTTTTTTTTTGATGAAAATCAATTAATTAATCAGCGTCCTAAAACCATGGACGTAGTATGTATGTGACTGCATGGGCTACTGTATACGACCAACGTATAGTAGCCATGACTGAATAAAATTAACGGAGTTTATATTTTTGCAGTGTAATGTTTCATGTAATAGTTTACTTTAATTCTATTATACTTTGAAGTATTTAATGCATGGTGTTTTGTTTGTGTTGCATGATACCTTGAAACAAAAAGGAAAATAAAATGTATCAAAAAAAGTCACAAAAAATTTGATTCTGACCGGCATCCTCTTAATCAAGTCTGTCTTACAGGAATACAGGGTAGACGAGTTAATTCCACGAGTTCTCACTTGACTATTGTCATTTACCAATTTTTATCATTCGATTTTCATTTGAATCATAAATAATAGTCCATATATTGACTATTGATTATTACCAATTTTCGTCCTTTACTTTCAAGTTAACCACTAATAGTCTCTTAACTATTAATTTTATTCAAATTTGATCCTCTAATTAGATATCATTTTAATAAACATTAGAAGCACTTATGAATGGTTTACTAACACGTACCGTTTCTCTTCTTCCCTTTTGCTTTTGGGTCAAAAGTACATTTTTCCTATATATTGACCATGTAGCACAGCTTATTCATAAGTGCTTAAATTTATATATTTTATTGAATAAAAATTAATTTATTTTTTTCTTAATACTGCTTTTTATTGTAAGCTATTACACATAAGTGTGATATAATTTGTGCACACCTTAGATAGCGGACTAATTAAGCTAAGGTTTTCTAATAGTTTTTTTTTTTTTTTTTTTTTTTGAATGAGGTTTTCTAATAGTTTAAATAAACAATATTTCATTATTATTTATGTTGTTTTTAGGAATAATGGAACGCAATTGTCGGGGGTTATTTTGTTTGAATATTAACTTGTGCACACATAATATTATTTTAATGCTTATTCCTTAAAGATGTGATGACTGGTCTTTTCATTAAGTTATCAGTTTATAATTTTCTTATTATTAAAGCATGCCAGTCTAGCTATGTGCAACAGTCAACTGCCCATCAATTCTATTCTTCAATTCCATCCAAAAATTAAATTAAACTGAAGAAAAGTTCAAAGTCATTATCATATATGTGTCATGAATGATTAATTATTGCCACTACGAGTTTATCGCACTTTTGGTCCCATGACTATAATGATATTATCAGGATTGATTCATGACTTTCAAACCTTATAATCTCAGTCTACGACTGTTTTGTTTTTTTGGGCAAAAATGGTACTTCCGGCCCAGTTTTTGTCAATTACTCACCATAGTAAGAACCATTTTTAACAAAAAGGGGCCGGAAAATTGACAAAAAATAGGCCGGAAGGACTATTTTTGCAACAAAAAAAAAAAAAAAAAAAAAAAAAAAAAAGTCATGGACCGAGATTGCAAGGTTTGAAAATCGTGAATCAATACTGATAATGTCACCATAGTCGCGGGACCAAAAGTGCGATAAAGTCATGCCACTACCTTTCAAGCTGTGCATATATTGAACCTTATAAATAATCCTCACCTCTTCACATTTTATCCTCATATCATAAAATTCATTCATGTTATCTATCTCGGTATATCTATTCAATTCATAGTTCTGATCGAAAATAGGCGGTTTTCCAACTAGGAACCAAGAAGCGACAATGAGACATCAACCTAGTATTGTCTTGTCTTTTGTTTCTATTCTTCTTCTACTAAGCATCAACCCTCACGAAGCTTGTAGATCAGTTCCTCGCGAGGATGGACAACATCTTTTGTTACCATCTCTGCAATGGAAGGCAGTCAAGTCTCCGGCCATGAATCCCGGCACCGGTAAGGCTGTCGCCGGGAAGAACTTTGGAGCGATAAAGAAGAAGAATTCGGGAAGTTTAAAGAAATATCTTTTGTTACCGTCTCTGCAGTGGAATCCGGTCACCCCTCCGACGCCCAATCCCGGCACAAACTCGGCTCTAGCCGGAGAAAAGAACTTTGCGGCTACGTTGTCCCCGTCGGCGAGTCATCTTTTACTTCCTTCCCTGCAATGGCGGCCGGTGAAGCCTCCGTCGAGCAACCCCGGCCACAACCTCATCAAATCACCATAAGCTGCCGATTATAGAGCACTACTATAGTCTATACGTTACATATAAAGATATAATCTTCTATTCATTCTCCAAAAATTTTTGTTCAAATTAATTAATTCTTTAGTATACTCAAAACATGCACGTAGTATGCATGAAATTAAAGCATTAGCAACTGTATATGACCAACATTCACAAACGAATTGAATAAAATTGAAGTATTTGATGATCTTTTGTGACTGATTCGATCTAGAGAGGATATTGTGTGTTAAAAAAATATTATATTAAACACGTGATATTAGATATTAGATATAAGAATCATGTTTTACTCACTTGTCATCTTTTGTAAAACAGATTAATTAAGAGAAGTTTCCTAGTAGGATCATAAGGACAATATGTTAGCTAGTGACAAACTTTGAAATTGCTGCATTCAAAAATCACGTTTTTCTATCTAAATACCTAATTAAAATAGTGCATGATATTTTTGAAAATGTCCATATTCAAATACGTACAGCCTTTTGAGAAACATTTTTGTTTGGGTTACAAGTCAAGAGTACATACTTTATCGGACTGAAATAGGTTTTCCTTCTCCATTTCAACCTCTTTCTCAAGTTTTGCAGTGTCGTAAGATACCATCAAAATTTATCCAAAATTTTATATTCAAACTTTAGAAAATTTCCCATGCAAAAATTGACTATAGACGACACTGCCAGCAACTCAGCAAGTTCCATGAGCACACCTGTAATGCCGCGCCGGATAAAATACTTATTTTGTTTATATATATAATATATAATGTCCATGACTAAAAAAATTTTAAAAAAAATGTTGAATTTTTGTTATTACGATAGTGTGTTTTGAAACACTTGATAGATGATTCGAGGATAATTCACTGTATACTTAGGATCTATAATAGTGCATTCAAGTGTACGTATACACTATTAGTTATTTGGGGATGTCCTATCAAGTATTTCTAAATGCACTTACTATCTTAATCTAGGCGGATGATGCAGGTAGATTCCTCCTAGTCGTCTATGTACCAAACAAAATAATAATAATAACTAACTAAACTACAAAATTAATATTACATAGTGATTTTTATAGCAAGCTGTAACATTAATCTTTTGACTAAATGATCTTAACAAGATCCGAATCATCGTGACCCGGCCACATAATATGGAAAAAACCATACACTTGATATCGTGATTTAGGTACAAATCTCCTTTATCTTTTCATTTTTTTTTAATGATATAAAGCACATGTAAAATGTTCGAGGTTGTACGTCTGCGCATCTGCGGTTAGTACTTACAAATTCCAATCCTCACAGCCCGCACGGGTTTAGCTCAATGGTTCAGTAGACAATATTTGAGAGAAGAGAGTAAGATTCAAATTTCATGACAGGCAATGTGAGAATTATGTCAAAGTGAACGCAGATCTCTTGTGCCCATCGGCACTAGCATTTGACACTGTGTCGAATCATTGAGTCATCGTGATTTACATCCTCCCAAATGTTCTGTCGGGTAGGGTGTGGAGGGCTGTTGAAGATTCAACCTTTTGAGAGAAGAAGAAGTACGAAAGTCACCCTTAGCAATTAGCATAAAGCAGGTTGTTTTCATATCATCATAGTGTAAATCAGTAAAAGCACAATGTAACAAAATCTGATTCTTTGAGAAACTGCAGAGCATAATCTACACAACAATATTCCTCTAGCAATCTATATCAAGGGAGAATATAAAATTGCCTCCATTACAGTTCTTGATCAAATGCTCTAGAAAGCATGCAGCGAATCTGGATGAACAAGCAAGCAAGATTTCTTCGGTTTTATGCAAATCATCAACTGTAACCTAGGAAACATGATGTTTCTGCTATATAAACAACAAATGTATAGTATACATGATTAACCTGATCTATGTAGTACAATACATAGTTTACGACGGAATCACTTGGCCAGAGCAGCAGCCAGTTTTTCCTTCATCTCTTCAGCGGGGGCGCCCTGAGTTTGGATAGAGAATGTATGAATCACTTCGCCATTTTCAGATATGGCCACGCTAGATTCTTGCGCTGTTACTTGATGTTCTTGAAACGCCTTTATAACTCGAGAAATCGGATGAGTATCCAAAGGGCAGCCTACGCTTATGACAGCATCATCTGCCCTTTGATGAAATTCGATATCTTGAACACTAAGTGGCTTTGGCTGATTAGTTGGGATCTCCCTCTCGGCTTCCATCGTCCTAACCCTTGCCTGGAGATCGGTGATGTATGCAATGGCATCACCGAGCAAAGATGCTTTATCCATCTTTGAGATATTCGGGACGACTGCTCTTAATGCGTAGAACCGTTGATTGAGCTTCTCCCGCCTCTGCCTCTCGGCTTCTACATGGTTTAGCGGTTCTTCTCTCCCGTTGGCGGGCTTCCGGCCTCTCTTTCTCGGTTTCTGAACATCGGGTTGAAGCAAAGCATCCTCGCTCGCTTGTTCAAAACCAGAATTTAGGGCTCCGACCATTACTTGATTTACCCCGGGAAGCAGTTTCCCGTCCCCGTCATCGCTTCGATATCCATTCGACGAGTTCCCATAAACTTGACTACTACCTAATGCATTTATGTCATACGAATCTGAAGGATGCCCGCCCAATTCTTCTTCCAGTTTCGGGGCAAAGCTGATGCTGATTGGCCCCGACGACGACTTTGCCCCTCCAAGACTAAGTTCTTGCCCGAATATCTTCGGAATTGGTTTTGCCGGAGCATGAGCAGATACCACCACCATTTTCTGAACCATCTTAATCACGTTCTGGTCTTCGGGAATTGCTTTTGTAGAACCAAGCTCCACAACCCCAAACTTAAGCGGGACAAACACGAGTGTCTCGAACTTGGCCAACTTCGCTAGATGTGATCTCGATTGGTAATTTTCTGAACAACTCCTAGCATCAGCAGCCCATATCGTTCTACTGGAATTAAACGACTGAGAAGGACTAGAAGGAACACCAAACGGGAACACATAATACATGGACGTGAGATAAAACATCTCCATATCCGAAACGAAATCCAACTTGTTGCCAACATTATCCTCTTCCGATCCACCAAAACACCCACAAATCTTCCGAAGAACCTGTTTCTTCTTATCCCCATTCACTAATGTCTGATTCACATTCATCTCCTCACCGAGCCTCCTATTGAGCTCTGAACAATGCCCATCACCCCAAATCAAGGCAGATTTCCCAGATTTCGACTTGGCAACTTGCCAATAGATGGCATAAGCCCAATCAGAATCCTCTACAATCTTGCATAGCTCCCTCTGCACCCCCAAACTCCCACTAGATGCCACAAAATCTGACAAAACATTGTTTGAAGCTGACCAAGTGAAGAAATCAACAGCATGCCTCCCTAACACCCCTTCAACCAAAGCCCTATCACTGTCATCCACACAGAACTTATCCCCCATTTTCAATTCCAAACTATTCAACAAAACTTCCTAATTCAAACCAATTCTACACCAATTAATTCACAACACAACAACCACAATACCTTAATTTCAACAACTACCACCTCCAAAACCTATAATACAAACCAATCTTAACAAAAAAGCATGCAAAAATTGAAAATTCACAACTGGGCAACCCTAAAAACGCGTTCTTGAAGAAAAACGAGTTGAGCAGAAGATAAAACAGAGAACTTTAAGCTGATATACACCGCAAATTCAACCCAGAAAAAGTAACTCTGCTAACTTTGGGGCTCACGGACACCCAAAATCCGATTGCGCAGAAGGATTGAGCGCAATCAAAGGCGAGCGCACATGAACCGCAAAGAAGCAGTTACCTGAATGAGATGAAGGATGGAAACCGGGGTCGTATCGTGAAAAAGGCGCTGATTTTCATGTGACTTCGTCACACAGTTTCCGTGAGCTTCAGATCTGAATCACATCACCTGCTAATCTCTGCACAGGCGCTGTGATCTGTCTTGAATGTGAAGAAAAAAATATTTCTTTACTGGAATTTTATGCAGTAAACGTTAGTTTTCCCTTTTTATAGTCCCCGTACATCAGTACAGGTCGGGAAAGCATTTGGAGCAATTAAGGCAATAGAATGTTTCAAAAAATGTTTTTTAATGAATTAAGGAATTACAATGGACTCCACTTAGATTTTAACTAATTGTAAAGATGTTTCAAATGTTAAAAAAAATTACTAAACATTCATAACTTCATAACTATACATTTAGAATTGCATAACTACACATTCATAACTTCATAACTATACATTCAGAATGTGAAATTATAATTTCATAACTATACATTCAGAATCACATGCATAATTACACATTCATAACTATAAATCCAGAATTGCATAACTACACCTCCATAATTTCATAACTATAAATTCAGAATGTGAAATTATAAAATTATGAACATATGTTTACGTAACTAACGTTAATTAAAAATGATTTTTTTTTATTTCAATAAAATGACGTCGTTTTTGCATCCATGTGCACCATTCACAACATAATTTGTCTTATTCTATTATGCAAAAGAACAGTGTGGTTGGATTTGATTACTCTAATCCAGTAATCCTAATACTATTGGGACGTGTTGTGGGCTTACACATTTGTCTGGTTATCATAGGGCCCAAGTAGTTAAGCCTCAGGCCCTCCACCATCCACTAGGCCTATGAGAGATGCATGCAATTGTTATGTCATGGACCTGGATTCACCTTGCAAGATAGATTATGATTTAAAACGCGCATATAAAATAATGGTGTTGATAGTGGCACCATTTCTTTAGTCAATGATTTTTTTTTTTTTTTGTGAATATAAAGTTCAAAATTTGTGAATATAGATTCAAAAATGGTGTTATACTGCTGATGTAATTGTGAATATATTGTTCAAAATTTAGGAATATTGAGTTCTGTAATTTTGTATATTAAGATCTAAAATTGTGAATATTTAGTTCTAAAATTGTGAATATAGAGTTCAAAAATTGTGAATATAGAGTTTTGCAATTGTGAATATAGAGTTCTGTAATTTTGTATATTGAGATTTAAAATTGTGAATATAGAGTTCAAAAATTGTGAATATAGAGAAACGAATTCTGAAGACAAACAACAAGTTAACGACAAGAAAGGAAGCTTTTTTAAAAAAAAAAATAAATAAAATTCAAACAGCGTTGTTTTGAAGCAAAACAAAACCGTTTTGAACTTTGAATCCACCTTGCAAGGTGGACCCGGGTTCATGGCATAATTTGCTAGATGCAGGATGTTGTTTTTGTTGGATTTTGGTTAGGAATGTTAAAACACATGTACTAGGAGAATAACAATTAATAATACAACTTTCTTGATCCGTTTTCATGCACCTCAAGACTATGCATATTTTTCCTAACAATAATTAAATCGATACAAATATAACTCAAACTGTATATTAGATTGGGTTAACATTTCGTAAACCAAATAAATTGTTGAGTCACCATAATTTACTCATTCATTAATCTATATGATTGAGATGTACAAACCTATATAAACGAAAGAATTTCACTTTTTTTTTTGTGGACAAAGTTAGGTTAACATCATAGCAATTTAAACTCAATAATACCGGATAAGTCAGCTCAAATACCATCCTGGCTTCCTTGTGTAATCATATCTTACTTAATTAAGATAATCTAAATAATAAAAATTACCCATTTTAGAAGTGACTTGTGTGAAGAGTAAACCAAACAATTAATGTTCACACCTTATTGTGGGGATAATGTCGTTATGGTCATCGTCATTGATGATGAAATTGGCTTCAATTTTTTGCCCACAATCAATTTTTCTGACGTATGAATGCGGCGTAATCTCGTATTCAACTACGCTAAATACGTAATGTTTTCCATATGTCAATTCTCATTAACGTCATACCACACGACTACAGAAAGACAAAAGCAATTGAAAGAGTTTCTGCGAATGTGAAAACTTTAAAAATAAACTTCCAATAATCATTATAAAAGGAATGGGGCTATGGTGTCCAAGCATTCGAATATCCATCAATCTTTCCAATTTCCAGTTAAGAAATTATTAAAAAAAATGTTGAATCTTGAGCTCTCAACTTCTCTGCTCCTTTGTATTGTTCCTTTCGTCTTCTTCCTCGTCTTCAACTTCACCAAATCCAGTAAAATCCCAAGAGCTTACCCTCTAATCGGTTCTTATTTCTCCCTGTTGAAGAACAAGGACCGCCGGCTTCAATGGATCACCGACGTGATTAAGAGCACTCCCAATCTCACCTTCACCCTCCACCGCCCTCTGGGTTTCCGCGTAGTGTTCACCGCGAATCCTTTAAATGTGCAGCACATCCTCAAGACGCGCTTTCCTATCTACCGGAAAGGGGATCTCTCGAGGAGCATTTTGGGTGATTTTCTCGGCGACGGGATCTTTAACACCGACGGCGAGAGCTGGAAGTTCCAGAGACAAGTCGCCAGCCACGAGTTTAACACTAGATCTCTCAGGAAGTTCGTGGAGACCGTGGTTGATACAGAGCTCTCCGACCGGTTGATTCCGATTCTTGATTCTGCTGCTAAGAACAAAACGGTTCTTGATTTCCAGGATATTCTTCAGAGATTCGCTTTTGATAATATCTGCAGGATTGCTTTCGGGTATGATCCCGGGTATCTGTTACCCAATCTCCCGGAAGCTAAATTCGCGGTTGCTTTTGAAGAAGCGGTTATGATCAGTAGCCAAAGATTCAGTGCTGTTAACCCTCTGATCTGGAAATTGAAACGTTTGTTTAACGTTGGATCGGAGAGGAAGCTCCGGGCTGCTGTTGACGAGGTTAGAGAATTTGCCAGAAAGATTGTGAGAGAGAAGAAGCAGGAGCTGGAGGAGAAGTCAACGCTGGAATCCGTTGACTTACTGTCAAGATTCTTGAGCTCCGGCCACTCCGAGGAAAACTTCGTGATGGAAATCGTGATAAGCTTTATACTGGCCGGTCGGGACACGACGTCGGCCGCGCTGACGTGGTTTTTCTGGTTGGTTTTCCGACACCCCGAAATCGAAAATGAAATTTTAAAAGAGGTAAGGTCAAAATCAGAATCAACAGTATATGATGAAGTGAAAAACATGGTTTACACTCACGCCGCGCTTTCTGAAACCATGAGGCTTTACCCACCGGTCCCCATAGATTCAAAAGCGGCCATTGAGGATGATGTTTTGCCGGACGGGACCGTCGTGAAGAAGGGATGGAGGGTAGCTTATCACCCTTACGCGATGGGGAGGGTGGAGGACATCTGGGGGAAGGACTGGGCGGAGTTCCGCCCCGAGCGGTGGCTAGAAAGGGACGGTGCCAGTGATTCTGGGAATTGGAACTTTGTGGGAAGGGACTCGTATGTTTATCCGGTGTTTCAAGCAGGGCCGAGGATTTGTCTGGGGAAAGAAATGGCTTTCCTACAAATGAAGAGGGTGGTGGCTGGTGTTTTAAGGCAGTTCAAGGTGGTGCCTGTGGCTGCTGAGAACGGTGTCGAACCAGACTTCATAATGTATCTAACTTCAAAAATGAAGGGTGGTTTTCCGGTGACGATTGAGGAAAGGTCAAGTTCTATATAGACTTACCTTGTAACGATAGCTCGTTTAATTTGTTCGTCGCAGATTATGAGAAAGATATGGACTTAATCGATTCTTTCATGATATAGATGGTAAGATATAAACTTATAAATTAAGGGGGTGTATTCAATCATGACTTTTGTAGAATTTTAAAGACTTTTAAAATGATAGATTTTAATAAATTTTGATTGACTTTCATAGTATAGTATAGTAGTTCGTTATTCGTAGTAACCTGTTGTTAAAAAAAAAAAAGGAAAAATATATATTACGAATATAAACATAAAAAGAATAAAAATCAAAATATATAAGTATTTATATGAATATTTTGAAACATATACTAAAATTTGACGATGAAAAATGTGTTTTGTTCATGTATTTAGGGAAAAATAGAGAAAGTTAGGGATAAAAATTCATAGAAAAAATAAAAAATAATATAAACAAGCAATAATGAAGTAAAAATAATATTATTTTGAATTTTTAGAGGAATATTGTAAAGTTTAGAAGAGAGATAAAAATTGGTAGAGTTTGGGTATGAGGAAAATATAAGATAATGAAGAAAAAAATAATTTTATTAAATTTAGATAGGTTTATAAAGTTTAAATAGTGGAAAAATAGAGTTTAAATAGAGAGAGAAAACATTCAAAGTTGTTAGAAAGAAAATTTTGAAATCTTGGGATTGATGGTTGGATTTCAACTATTTATCTTTGAGAAGGAAAAGTCTACAAAAGTCCTAAAATTAAAAAGTCTAAAAAAGTTCATAACTTTTTAAATACCACATGACTTTTAAAGACTCTTTAAAAATCTTCATTGAATACCACACGACTTTTAAAGACTCTTTAAAAATCTTCATTGAATACCACATGACTTTTAAAAACTCTCTAAAAGTTTGAATTGAATACCTCCAAACTTTTAAAGTTCATAAAAATCTTTGAAACTCTATGAAAGTCATGATTGAATACACCCCCTTAAGTGTTTGTACCCCTTCTTTATTTCACATGTTTGTGTTATTTATGTTTTTTTTTTTTTTTGAATTATTTATCTTTAGTGAATAAAAATATTTTTACCTACAATGTAAATAATGTATTTAATTTTATTTTTTTTGAAATACCCATGATTCTTTACCGTATAATTGGGATGTCATCACACTATAAGATGGTTGACATATAATAATATATCATATAAGTAATGATGTATATTATTAACTAATAAAGATATGATACATAGACCATTAATCTTTCAACTATGCTTACCTAATAATCAAATTGAGTTAAGTCCTTTACTGTGAGGACCGCTTAAGGATCCTGGATTTTCTCCTCCTATTTGTTAAAAAAAGAGTTAATTTCATCAAAGGTCACTTAGTTTATCTTTAGTGATAATTTCAAATTTAGTTTCAGAATATCGTTTTTACCTTTTAATCTTCCATACTATTATTTTTTGACACATTTAGTCATTCTCATGACTTTTCCTACTTTAGTAATGATATTTTTTGTCTCTTCAGATTTTTCTTTTGTTATTTTTTTCAATTTCAACTGGTTTAATTGGTTTAGGACTTTACTAAAAATCAGTTGAAAAATATATAGGATTACTAAAAATTAAAGTTTACGTATAGTTAATTATGAACCAATTAAACCGGTTGAAACCGGAAAGATAACAAAAGAAAAAATATGAAAAGACAAATGTCTTACTAAAAATAGAAAAAGTTAAGAGAAGTACTAAAAATGTCTAAAAACTAATAGTCTGGGATGTTAAATGATAAAAACGATAATCTAAAACTAAATTTGAAATTGTCACCAAAGACAATGGACCTCTAGTAGAATTAACTCTATATTAAATAAGCCAGAAGTTTCTGGTTTGTTGAGAGCATGGTCAGAGCTTTGATATTTATATGTTAGAAGAGATATATAAAACATTTTAAAAATTTGATATTTATATGTTTGAAGAGATAACTTAACTAACATATAACTTCAATATATAATGTGTATATATTATTATTATTATTGAAAAATATAAGAAAATATATGATGGTCAGATACATGCATGTGCATAGTAACAATAGTGGAAAAGATAACAGGAGTTATAACGGTAAGAGTATGTTTGTCCAAAATATTGTATAATTCAACTTTTCTAGCATAATGTAAAAAAAATAAAAAAATAATAAAAATAATAAAAAAACTTAACGGCAAAGACCGATATAAATGAAGGGTATAACCTTCATTCACACTTATTATGTTTTTAGATTTAAATATGCGATTTTCGTGTTAGTTTTTGTTTGGTCAGCGAACCGCGTAACTTATGGCCGTTGTAAGATCTTTGCCACACCCTTATAACTTTGTAAGATCTCAATTGGACTATATACTCAATTGAAAAAATCATCAAAGTCGAAGACTTAATTAAGTATAAAAAATTATTTAGAACTAAATTAAGAAAAGTCATTAAATTAGCTATTAACTCGAATTAAAATTTTAAAATACTTTTAATTCTTTCTTTCACAATTAGTAGGTGTAGTGTTTAATGATTTTGTCACCACTTACGAGCAACCGACAACTTTTATCTCAAAGGTGTGCGTGTGAAGTGGTAATAGTTTCCTTCGACATGAAAGTCCAAATTAAATCAAGATCTAGATATGAAAATTAATCATTATATTAATATTAATATTATATATATATATATATATATATATATATATATATATATATATATATATATATATATATATATATATATATATAGCTATCTGTTAAAGACAATTTAAAAATTGTTTCCAATTCCTAATATTATGTTTTCATATAACTGTAGTCAAACTAGATAAATATTTAGCAAATGAGCATGGAAAGAAGAAAGCATGTATGGTTTGATTAATTGGTTTCCACAAACTCATTGAAATTCTGTCGCTGAAAATGAAAAAATTCGTCGCTAAAGTGAATAGCGATGGATTCGGTCCGTTGTTAAAAGTGGCCTTACTATTCACTTGCAATAAAAGAATTCCGTCGCTAAACTAAAAAATTCCCTTCGTTATTTTCCCTCCCGCGACAATTTGAACGATGAATTTTGTAAGAGAATAGCGACGAAGATGTTTAAAAATAAAGTTATGGACCTGATTCATCAAAATAAGTTGTCATTCAATCGATATATAAATTAACTTTCTTATAAATATGTTTAATCGAACAAAATTATTTGCTATGTGTAACATGATTCAGGAAAAGTGAATTACATTTTCGCGCGAGACACTGTGGCATTTTGTCATATTTGCGTGCGTGCAATAATGTTTTCCATTAACGTCATACCACACGTCCACACAATGACGCAAATAGTTCAATGAGTAAAACAAGAGTCAACTACGTACAATGACGGAAAGCAATTGAAAAGTGTTTGAGTGAAAGCCTTACTAAAGAAACTTCCAATAATCCTTATAAAAGGAATGGCCAAAGCATTCATTCATCCATCCATCTTCCTAAGCTAATTTTGATGGCCTACACAACCAGCATCAAAACTCATTAATATCTCCTTTATGTTTGGCTGCTACATACATGCATATGCTTTCTTATTTATTGTTATTTTATTTCCCAAGAATTGCTATTTTCCTATGTGATGTTTACTATTCCCACCATCTTTGAGTTAATTCTCTCTTTTGCTGTAAGTTTCTATATAAAGCATGGTTGTAAGCCTTTGGTTGATCATTGAAGAATACAGAACAAAAGTTATCTTGGTTGTTTTCAATTATTTTCGAATTTCCAAGGAAACCTGCTTGAGAGTTGATCGCAGGCTCTTAATGAAAGCACCAATGACAGTAAAAATGTTACCGGAGTATATTATTGTACAAGTATTGTGAGTATACTGCCTCAGTATTCTAGTACAAGAATTCCCCCTCCTCAATTATGGATCTTCTACTTATACTAAGTCCCCAACGGTAAGTAACAGTAGTATGATGAAGAGCCGAGCAATTATTTCTCTATGTTGAATGAGCGTAGTAAATGGTTTGTAATAATCATCTTTGTCTGTTGGACTTCTGCCCGTTGGATTTCTGCTCATTGGATTCATCTTGAGTGTTTCCAAGTCAAGTGTTTGTTGGTGGTCCGGATCGGGTGCTTGACACATTACTCTGTCAGGTCAGCCTCGACCAAAATCGGTCAATGTCCGCCTCGACCAAAATCGGTCGAGGTCCGCCTCGGCCAAAATTGGTCGAGGTCTGCCTCGGCCAAACTTGTCGAGCCCGCTTCGACCAAAATTGGCCAAGGTCCGCCTCGGCCAAAATCGGCCAAGGTCCGCCTCGTCCAAACTGGCAAAGTCCGCCTTGGCCAAACTTGCCGAGTCCGCCTCGGACAAAATCGGCCGAGGTCCGTCTCGTCCAAACTGGTCGAGTCCACCTCGGCCAAAACTGGCCGAGGTCCGCCTCGGCCAAACTTGCCGAGTCCACCTCGGCCAAAATCGACCGAGGTCCGCCTCGGTCAAAATTGACCGAATCCCGAGCCGAGATTGCGTCTCCGTGGCTTTGGTTTTAAGAAAAAATAAAATAAAAAAAAAAAAAAAAAAAAAAAAGGATCTTGATGCAATTTTGCTCCCAAGCTAGCTCATGCATATCCGCAGACTCGGGAGTTGGGGGGCTGGTGACAGAGTAATGGGTCATGCACCCGACCCAGACCACCAACAAACACTTGACCTGGAAACACTCAAGAGGAATCCAACGGGCATAAATTCAACGGGTAGAAGTCCAACGAACAAAGATGATTATTACAGATCATTTACTACGCTCATTCAACATAGAGAAATAATTGCTCGGCTCTTCATCATACTATTGCTACTTACCGTTGGGGACTTAGTATAAGTAGATGGTCCATAGCTGAGCAAGGGGGAATTCTTGTACTAGAATACTGAGGCAGTATACTTACAATACTTTTACAATAATATACTCCAGTAACATTTTTACTGTCACTTTCCATAACTAATCGATCACCAATGAAATATTTATGAAATATATATAGAGTAATTATATAGACAGGGATATGAATATATAATTTGTATAATTAATGAAATTTTAGTTATGAAAACTTTACACGAAAAAAATTTATAAAGTAATCAATTAATTACCATAATATTCTTTCTTTCCATAACAAATTAGT